TTAACACCTAGCCTTGAATATGCACCCACCTAGAGGGGCCTACTCTGCCTCAAGGTCCTAAAATTTTTACAAGCTCTCATAAGCAATTCAATTCGGTAACTTTGGCTCTTCGGTTCCGAACCTCATTCTCAAAGCGGTCTGTCTCACCGCCGTTATATAATTGCACTCGAGGCTTGAAGAATAGCCTCTCATTCAAATGGAAATATATCTATCACTATTGATCACATTTTCAAATATTTTGAGTGCAGTTTCAAGACATTTTGCTCAGGGGTGATCCACTATGCAAATTATGCAAATCTAAGGATCAGTTAAGGCTCTGACCGTGTGACACACAGTATTTTGAATATTCTAGCAGATAAATGTCGCAACGTGTTGCTTTTTTTCAGGGATCACACAATATAAGGATCAGGTAAAAGCTTTTTTGACAAAATTTTAAAGCATCTGAGCACTGTCAAACAAGAATTTCGATTGTGGCTAATGACTATGGGCGATCACAATAACCTTCAAGTGGGTAAAGAAACACCGGCTTCAGACACAAAGTCAAGGTGGCTTAATACTTTCTGTTTCTACATCTTTGGTTTTTTCACCTACTTCAGCGTAGAAATGTTCGTCATAGGAACGCAGGATATCCTGAGCGGCAGGAACATTCCGACCGCTATTTTGATCACTTGCTTTGAAGGTCCTTTAGTGATGGCCAAACTAGTCATTCCTTGGTTTCAGGAGAAGATTCCCTACGTGGTGAAGGCGTTCTTTATCGCATTCTTTATGATTCTTGGATTGTCTATAGTCGTTTTCGCAAACGACTTCAGAGTGAAAATTTTAGGAGTCGGGCTAAACGCTATGGCTGCTGGTGCTAACGAAGCCACCTTCCTTGCGCTGGCTTCGTTCTACCCAAAGCGATGTATCAGCGCGTTCGTCTCTGGCACTGGATCGGGTTGTTTGATTGCCGCTCTTTACTACATGGGTAACTACAAAAATTCTCTTATTTTTCAGAGCTTTCCTTAATTGAAGATGATACAGAGTGTGTTTAATTGAATTTACTCTCTAGTAGTTAACCGCAAAAGGGGAAATAATGAGTGAATATCATGAAACAAACTGTCTTCAACATGAAAAAATAGCGAATGTTGAAGCTTGCGATAAGGGAGCGAACCATGAGCGCTTGAAAGAGAAATTCAAGAGAGTGCAAGGTCCCGTCAACTTTACAACAGAAACAACGAAAAACGCAATCTATAGGTAACTTGTCCATTGAAAATGGGATAATTAATTAAGGTACTTTTAACCGGATAAAATTGAAAAAGCTGTCGTTGACGGTGTTACAAATCATTTTGAAGAAAATACATTTTGAAAATTGAGCTTTTCGAAATCGTCAATGTCAGTGCTCTTCCTTATTACACTTCCGATTCTCGCTCAAATTTCCAACGGCACGAACGTCGATCGAAGCCGAGAACTGAACTTTCCATTCGCATCCTTTTTCCCTCCTACATTTATAGATTTGGACTTTTGTTTGTGTGCGTCACGTAGAGATTTAAAATTTTTTATGACGCCGTTAGCGCGCTGTGTCATTATAATACGGAGGATTAGTTTTGTCATTTGCATTTCAGACGGAATACTGACTTTCCCCCTTTGTGTGTCTATCTAAAAGGAAACAGTCAAGTGTTTCTGTCGCTGGTCATTATTTTGATTTAAAAATAAATCAGGCAAAAATTTAGACGGAAAATATCAGCTACGTTTACAATCTGAAAACGTCTTTTCAAAGTTACTCTTCGTACAAATTGTGCAGACGGGCTCCTTAGAGAAAATAAAGAGATGGTCGCAAGAATTCCTATCGTATCCTATTCGCCTAGAATTCCTATCGTATGAAAGCTAAGTTTTTCGTTTGTCTCACGATGTAGTCACGTGTGATGTAGACCGCGACGTTTCGACTGCATACTGCTAGTCTTCTTCAGGCGATGAGGTCCACTAGTCTAATCTTATAAAGCATGATGATCCGCTGCGAGTAGTTGTTATTCAACAGCTCTGATTGGTGCATTTCGATCCTTGCTGTTCACTCAGTGATTTGCTCTCTCGGCGGTTCACTGTCGCACGGCTCTCCTGTTGTTGTGTTTTTTGATCGTGGGCCTCCACGCTTCTGGAATTTCTATTCCACTATCCTTGTTGATGTTGTTAGGGTGAAGTTTTATGTGAAAGAAGACTAGCAGTATGCAGTCGAAACGTCGCGATCTACATCACACGTGACCACATCGCGAGACAAACGAAAAACTTAGCTTTTATTGTTATTCACCACGATGAATAACCACAACCTTTTCTACGCAATAAACCCTATCGTCATGATCCCAATGGAATTCTGAACTACTAGCTAAGGGATACAATGCTCAATATGTACAGTTGAAAGAGAAAAGTGATCATTATTTTTTCTTTTTATCAGCTCTCACGACGTGGACTTGCTTATCTCCTAAGACCACCATGATGATAACAATTCCCCTTCCTCTGGCAGTTTTGATTTTTTACGCATTGCTGAACAAAGAATTTCTCCCAAACAGCTCACAAAGCAGCCCCATGAAGCTCAAACACGTTAAGTACTCCATTGTAGGATCCACTTCTGACACCATGGATCAGGATGCGCCAACTCGCCAAAAACTAACATGTGGCGAAATGCTTAACATCGCATGGAAAATTAGTTCAGTTGGTATTTCTCTATTGTTGAGTTTTTCTGCTGAGTATATCTCAGCGGTATCCGTGCTTACGACGATTTCTTTTCCTAAGTCACAGTTTCTCCCCCGCGATCATTTCCTTATTTATCTGCTGTCGTACTACATCGGTAGATTTGTCGGTCGAAGCTATTTACTTTTATTTGCTTGGCTACCTTCTGATATGACGGAATTCCTTCGCTGCAATAAAACCTGGATTTTCACAATGCTGCAGTTGGTGCAACTGACGTTCTTAATATTGGATTCGTTGTACCATTTCGTCCCGTACATCTGGATAATAATCTGTGTTTGTTCATCTCTTGGTCTAATCGGCGGAATAATAAGCATGAACGCACCCCATGCAGTTGCACAGCACGTTAAATCTGAGGAGAAAGAGTTTGCTTTAGGACTGGTGTCAGTTGGTTCATCCATGGGTGTATTAGTGGGTGCCCTGATTGGGCTGGCTGTGGAATCGAGTCTTAGAAAGCATTGCGTCGAGCATTACCCAGACACCAAAGAGTTCTGCTTCACAAGATATCAAGACACCACTGGCTGGGAAACTAATATTCACTGTTGAAGCCTGTTATATATTCTGACGCTTTGGAGCACGCGCACTCTTAAAGCCAAAGCCAACCAGCTAAACAAACAACCTAACTGACCAATAGACAAAGGTCCAATCAAAACTTCGTTTGTATTAATTTTTATGAGAGAGAATGTCATAACGAAATTTATGTGTTTTTCCGTGAACAAAGACGTTTTTTTGTTCGCCAGACCACTCAGTGATGTTTTTTAGGTTGAGCGCATGATGATCAGATGATGATCGTTCTCTCTCATCGGCAAGCCTGCTTTAGCAAGTGAATTCTTTGAAATCCTACATTGCTGAAACAGAATGAATTTTGGGTCTATTTGCATTAGATTGTGGGTTCCGAGAAAAAAATAATTTTTTATAATCGAGTGAAGTTTCTGATACTTACGAGAATCATCTTCAGATGTGTAAAACTGAGGCTTGTGTCTAAGTTGTGTGCAGTTGGTATGTTTTCACAAGACATCGCAAAAGGGGTTTCTTAGGGCCAGACTCAGCAAAGTGCTTTTCACGCGCGCTAGTTGGTTAGTATGGAAGTGATTTGCAGTCTTATTTACCACGGGGCAGCCGAAGAGACAAAGAGGTACTTCAAGAGTCAAATTCCAGACAATTTCTCGGGGTATCGACTGATATAAACTAATGTTTTGGTTTCTGTGTGGTATGTAATCAAACAGTTACTTGCCTCAGTGTCTTTGAAAGTGGTGGATATTTACCACTAATCGCCTCCACTTCAGTGAATAATTGTTCATTCTTCACTCTTCAGTTTTTACGCGAGTCGGCTGGATTCCACCGGAATTTATTTGTAGCTCACCGCTATTAACCCAACAAAGACTAGTCACCCACAGGAGCCCATTACTCGGAGTGTTCAACTCCCATACTGGGTCTATGCAAGAGCCCATCATGTGCTCTTCGGCTAATTTCTAGCTAGTTTTGACCAACAACCCACTAATTTTCCACGCTCTCCTACACTCAAATATCTTAAAACTAAGCGCTCTTGTTCTTGTTGTAAACAAACATAGTTATTTTCTCTTGAAATAGACACATATATTTTCACTTAAGCGCACTGAACGAGGAGTGGTCACGTGTTTTTAACCAAGGAGGCAGGAAGGCAAGGACGAGGAAGACGTCGATTACAAAAATGAATTTCTATTCTGAGTTAGAATTTTGCAAATGGCTGGATGTGTTCACCGTCTCATAAGGTACCACACCTAAATCTCAGTATACCGTACGAGAGCAGCGTTGAATTCCGATTGAAAACTTTTGGGTGGCCTTTTCAGACTACGCAAATTTCTGCGATTTCACGTTTTTGCTTTTGCATATGACGGCTGAGTAATGTTCAAAGTATTAGAATGCACGTGCTTAGCTAGTGTATTTCCCTTTAGATCGTCTGTTTTACCACGTCCTCGTCTTGGTTTTAGGGTCCTTAGTAATTACAAACGAAATGCTTGGGAGCTTCTCGGGAAGAGCGTGAAGCCCTTTTCTAAAAATTTCTTCTATGTAAAGCTTCCTTTCTTTAAATTTAACATTGGTGGGTAAAAAATAATTCTGTTCGAACACGTTTACAAAAGAAGAAAATTATTGATTAAAAATTCAGTAACTTGGTCTACCGTGTAAAATCACGAAGCAGTCCACGTACCGTACTCTGAAACTCCTGCACAAAATGAACCCCAATTCATTACTAAGGCTTCAAAACTAAGGCGAGGAGTCGGTATGTGGCGTTCTTTCGATTCTTGTAATATGTTCAATAATTTTTTTATTAAGAGCCGTCATTTTTGTGAATGGTTAGCAATTACTTCGAAGCTCCAATGACGTTTTGATAGGCAGAGTGATGATATTTCAAGTGGGAAACTAAGAAATCACATTTCAGAATTAATGTAGCACAATGGGATCAAGCAATTCTACAAAAAATGGGGTGGGAAAAGAGTATGGGTATGGACATGATCATTTGGGAATGCTGGGCAAACAGATGCTTCACAAACTTATGGTTCCAATGGTCTTGTTACTGAGGCATCAACTTGTATAGAAACATCACAACAAGGATAAAACTGCTCAACGAACACAGAGCACTGATCAGAATGATTCCATGGCAAATTCTGAAGAATTCTTAAGAAACTCGTATGAACAAATCATTCAAAAGCTCCAAAGCTCGAGAGACCTAATTTGGCCAAAGGTGTAATCAAGTTCTCGAAAAGGGTTACATCCCTACCTCTGCTAGAGCTATGCAATCTAATTTGGCGAGTGCTCTTTTTACTTTTGGGTCCAGTGAGGTAAAGAAAACAGGAAATGGAAAAAGATTCGAGTCCAGTCAAACAGAAAAAGAAAGTGTGGTAGTGGAAGCCAGGCTGTATCAAAAGGGCGACCAGTACAACTTCAAGAACCCACCTCCAAAGGAAAGTGTACCCATGACTTGGCTAAAGCAGTGCAAACGAACACTAAAAGTAATAAAAAGTCTGGGTCCCATGTTATGAAATCCAAGACAAAGCCTATACAATGAAAAAAAAGGAAAACAAGAAATCTTAGTGAGTAAACAATGGTTTTTCATAATGCTTTTCATAATGCAAATTACCTGGATCTTCAAACCCTCTCCCTGGATCTGCCTCTGACTTGGAAGAACAAGGTTAAAAAGATTCAGGTTTTGACATTGTAAATACGTTTTGGGTTATTCTGTCATGTTAAAATCTAACACAATATTGTGATTATCTAAAAATTTGGTTTGAACAGTAACATTATGTGTCTGGATTTATGGATCTTTCTTTGGGTTCAGATAATTTGTTTGACGCCATACCATATGTTACACTAGCCAATCTCAAATACTTATAATTTTGTTATATTTTTTGTTCAAGTGAAAACCTGTGGGTATTAATGTTTGTTTGCTGATATTCTGATCGAAAAATAAACAATGTTCAGCCATTGATTCACATGGGGTTTAGGGTTAACTATTGACTATAACCAACTGATTATGCAATGTATGATTCCAGGGAAGAACCACACCTCCCACTAAAAGGGTGTCGAGATTTGACTTTCCCACCGTTCTGCAATTTCTGTATAGTTTAGATGAAAATCCTGGCCACATTGAACCCCATCACACCCCCCACCCAACCCCTTCCGTGAGGGGGTATGGTTATGACCAAAATTAATTTCAGAAATTAAAATTAAAAATTGAAAAAATAATTATGTATTACACATTGGTCATAAAGCAATATCAAATCATCTCCTGTCAAAATCACATATGACTTTTTGTATCTTGTAAGATTTCGTTTCTCTGCAAAAGTCTTTTGGTAATGATCACACTTGTAGCTGTCTTTATGTCTCTTTAGCTTTTGCTCATGGTCAAACGTTTCATTGCATTCCTCGCAAACGCACTCGTGACAACCTTTCTGATGGTATTTGAAGTCTTTCTCCATCGTGAACTGGGTGCTGCAGGTTGGACTTTTTTTTTATCTCTGCTACTCCCATCTCAAGGTCTTCCCTCGAGCTCTGTGCGTTATCTTCCCAATCCTATGAAGATACATAACAAGATATTTGATAGAAACCAACTACAATCGGGGACAATAAAAAAATTAAAATTTGCAATGGCTCTGTTCACATGTAGCAGAACAGCCTCATGTGAACAGTTTTGTTACATTAAAACTCACCCCTCCACCCCCCTTCACTCACCCCTCCACCCCCCCCCCTTCCCTCTCTTAATTCAATGACGTGGATAGCCCAAACCATTCAAAACAACATTGTACTGAGGGGAGGGGGAAATAAGGGAGCAATCGTGAATTTTTGTTACATGGTCTTTTTTTTGTCTCCGATTGTAGCATCCTATCACAAATCCCGTAATCTAATTGGCTAAACTCACTATCTCTTGGTTAAAAATAGCGAGTAGCAAAACTGTTGGTGTTTTAATAATGATGGCATGATTTCTCTAACAGCTTAGCTTTTATCAGTGTTATATTCCTAGGCTATTTTTAACTAAAATGTGTGGCAAATCGGTACACTTATACTGACTATCCCCTAAGGATATTCTAGAGTGTTGCCTGAAAAAAAAAATTCTGAACAACATTAGAAAATGGACATTCATCTTGATTCAAAATATAAGTTCATAACCTAAAAATACTACTTGGAAAGTCTGGCGAAAAAGTTTACACTCTGAGTCCCTTTACAAAGTTAGCCACATAACCCACATGGCAATTATTTTTGTCTTTATCCGCTGTTCAAATAAACGACTTTCATAGATTCACAGTGAGTCGTTTATTCACTTCTTCACGGGTTTATCTGGAAGCAACATTAGCATAAGCTCCCATTTAGCTTGTTAGCTCAGTTGGTAGAGCGCAGCAACGGTATCGCAGAGGTCACGGGTTCAAATCCCGTACAGCCCTGATTTTTTTTTTTCGGCATTATTTTCACCGCTTCTCAATTAGTGTTTATTACTACGAAGATCGCTTTCATATTCACATATTTTTGTAATGAAACCCATCGATCATGAAATGGAGTAGGGTACTGATAAACATTCTCAATGTTCGAAGTTCATTCCCAACCTTTCGTCTGTCTATCGGCAATTTCTTTCACATATTGCCAACCACTTGGAAACCTTCCCGATACCTGCCTCTTTCCCAAGTTGTTCCCTGACTTCTGGTTGTGGAATGATACAAAAAACGAGGAAACAATAACATATGAGATTGCTCAAACAAACGCTTGGGAAATACAAAACAAACTCACTGCTACTGACTGGAAAAAGAAGTTCCACCCCGTTGGCTTCTTTATTGATTTTGGTTTTGTGTCAGCACTAGAAGAATGGGCTGGTTCTGGTTCAGCTGGCTCACCTCTCACACGTGGATTGTTTCGCCATCTTGTAAACAATACTGACATCCCGGAAGTGACGTGCGAGCGTAAGAAAATCATGAGCGAACCACGTACGAGCTTTTCGCGAAGGCTGTCGTCTGTTCGGCTTCTTTTCAATACGGCATCGAACGTTTTAAATGGCAACGACCGTTTTGAGAAATGGCATCGACCGTTGTAAATGGCAACGACCGTTTACGGAAGGGAAATTGGTTCCGACCCTCATTCTCAAATTAAAGCGGTCTGTCTCGCCGCCGTTATATAACTGTACTCGAAGCTTTAAAGGCCCATTTTCGCCCTTGATGCAACGCGCACCTCGACCTAATTTCCTGTAACACGAAATTCCCAGATAATTTAAAATCTTCTAAAACCGTCTTTCTCAAGAGCCATCCTGGACATATAGTCAACTGTTTTACGGTAATGGCATACTGCTAAGGCATACTACTAAGGCATACTGCTAAGGCATACTGCTAAGGCATACTGCTAAGGCATACTGCTAAGGCATACTGCTAAGGCATACTGCTAAGGCATACTGCTAAGGCATACTGCTAAGGCATACTGCTAAGGCATACTGCTAAGGCATACTGCTAAGGCATACTGCTAAGGCATACTGCTAAGGCATACTGCTAAGGCATACTGCTAAGGCATACTGCTAAGGCATACAGCTAAGGCATACTGCTAAGGCATACTGCTAAGGCATACTGCTAAGGCATACTGCTAAGATCAAAACTGAGCTCAAAACTTACCATCTCTACTTTTCTGTCAAAAACATTACGCTATCGACATTGTTGATCCTAGCAGTATGCGGGACGCGTGTCATTAGAACTTCGTAATGGACCCCGCCGGGGTCCATTACGAAGAGTCTTTGGGGCTCAGTGGTAGAGCATCGGAGCGCAAATCCAAAGGTCTGTGGTTCAATTCCTCATGGAGATTCAGAATTTTTCTTTGTCCCACGTTCGTGACAAGACGAAAAACATCTTTCTCAATTCTTCACCGAGCTCAAAACTTACCATCTCTACTTTTCTGTCAAAAACATGACGAGCCAGACGTTCTTAGCAACCGAAAAAAGAGCTTTGGATCCTGCTGAGATCGAGGAGTTTTACTCCACGATCTCAGCTTGACGTCCAGCAGCTTGCAACATTCCATTGTAACAATATCCCTGCTACTGATCATTTATGTTACGCTGAAAGTGCGAACTTTCGCGCGAGCGTGTTATAATCCTGAAACGAGAGTGTGCGTTTATAATTAAAATTTCTATTTTGGTAATTCAAAACGTGTCAGTGAATGTATGCCACGTTTGGAGTGAATGACGTATTTTGGCTCTTTGATTTTTATCAATAGGCCGGGAACAAAAGCGAAAGCGTACGAGCCGACTTTATTTGCTGACTTTCCAAGTCAGCTTTCCTTTTCTGAAACCGCTCTATTTTCTGGACCGTAAACCGCCAGACAAATACGTACGTGCCAGCAAATCGATACTAAGAAAGAGTGTAATAGACCCTTTTGTTGAACGAATCTCGGATTTCGTCATTTTGGGTCATTTTTAACATTCACGCGAAATTCCCCCTTTTTTAAGTCTGCCTGAAATGAACAAGGGACGAACCGGACGCCACGACTTTTGCCTTCGATTAATGCACGCAACACGCTCACGCCACGACTACAAACGAAACGCGTATGTCGATCAAAATGAGAACGTTCCGGGATTTGACGGCGAAATTTAGCCGTTTAAACCGTGAAGTAGTGCGAATTCAGCATGTTAAATTTTTGATACTGTAAAATTTCGGTTATAAGCCCTTGGCTAGTACTAACTACTTAATAACCGGGCGCGAGGGCTTAACTGTAAAATTCCAGACTGAGGGATGAAATTTTTGCTTTATGGACCGAGCCTCTGGGCGAGGTCCATAAATCAAAATTTCAGCCCGAAATTATGGAATTTTTTAGTAAAGCCCGAGCAAACAAGGTTATTAAGTTTTTTTTTATAATATGGCTTCAAGTAGGTAAAGCGCGCGAAATACAGTGAACTTCTACATTGCCTTCATTTTCCGTCACAATTTCGTCAGGATAATAAAATTCAGAAAAGAAATGTTTTTCAGAACGCATAGTTAAAGAAGAGATACGTTTTTTGTTCAATTTCTTGCTTTTTTAACGAAGTTCCTTTCAGCGAAAGTCACTAAGTTCGCTAGGTTTTGTAAACCAAAACCGTGGCGGAAAAAATCTGCTATGCCCGTGGGCGTTTACCGGGGGATTACGGACCGCTAATTATCCAATCTGAGCGCGCGTACTATCGCAGCAATATAATAAAACTTTGTAAAGGGTTTTGGGTAGGTTTAGCGGATTGAAAAGCGTTTGGAAACAAGCCATGGTAATGTTGATCTAAATTCGTTTTTAATTTAAAGTCATATTAAAGCAAAATTTCCAGTTAGCACTGTCATCCAGCAGAGGGGGGAAGGGGGGTTATCAGGGGGCCTATAACCGGATTGTTTTGTCTGCAGGTAGATGATCTAACCAGAATTTCACAGTATACACTTCGGGCCGTTTTACACGGTACGAAATTATCGCGGTGTATTCAACAATTTCCCAGGCTGAAGTCGCACGACTTTATATTTTAAAAGCCAGCCGTCTATCATACTGCATTTTTTTTTTTTTATTTCAACCAGTACACGACTGAAATAGGACACATCCAAAGCCCGCTCGCGGTAGTCTCCCCCACCCACTACATGATGCTAAAGTTCCCACTGAGGCAAGCTTTCACACGCGAAGTGAAAACACTCGGTAACGTTATCGATCAGTAGGAATGCCTGCGAGTGTGTTAATCGACCGAACTACATAAGTTGAATAAGTACGCTACGGTTTTTTTTTTTGGATCATTGGTTCTCGCCCCCTTTTGCTTTTTGTTTTCGGCACCACGTTTCCGTATTACATTTCCATATTATTTGAAATGACCCCCCCGAAAAAAAAAAAAAAAAAATGATGAAATAAATTTGGAACTTATTGGACAATTATTTGTTTGTTCATTCAAAGAGGGTATTCTTACGTTAAAAAAATAGCCGAATAGCCGCTATGATGGAAAGGGTATTCTGATAATAGTAATGAAAGGTAGCATCGTGAGGGAATAATATCATTTTCCAGGTTCTCCCATTCCATAATCTAACAGAAATACTTAACAATTATTCCACGAGTACGCATTGGATATGAGCTGGTAGATAGCCAACCAGAGGATTGAAGTTGGCTATAACCATGTCTTACCCAACACACGCGAGTGGAGAAACTGTTTTAATAAGAACTACCACGTGGTAACAGCGAATCTTGCTATATTTATTTTATCGTAAGGAAGACAATTTTTGTAAAGAAAACCATCCACTGGCCGCTAAACAAATCAAAACTTAGTTATACAACTTACTTGACAACATTTGGTGATTGAAAAGTACTCTGACGTTAAAATTAAACAGTGGTAAACAACAGAGTAACAAAAAGTTAAAAAAGTAACATTTTAAAATTTGCACGACATTCTCATGTCATCTTTAGCTTTACAGCTGTACATTTGATTTTTCCAGTGTAAATAGTATGTTATAAGGTTACGTCATAAACCTGACGTCATAAATTTGAAGCTACTATGTTCCGTTGCGATTCACTGAAAGGGAAAATTTTGGAATAAGGTTTTTGCTGAGTCTTGCTGCTTAACATGGAAGTAGCCGAACATTTTCAACTTATTAAAAGATACAAAAGTTTAATGGTAAGAATTACTGATAATTAGTGAATTGGAGAAGGGAGCGTAAAGAAAATTTCTCTTTTCGCGGCAGCGTTTCAAACGTTTTGGCCAAACTTGTAGCTGGCTTATGGCTTCGAAGAGAACAAACTACCTGCAAGCAAGCAGTTTCATTATGTCCTTCCTGTGTGCTGTCATCTCACTGAAGTTCCACGACCTTCAACAACTTGAGTTTGTGAAGAGGTCATAAAATCAAGGGCCGCTAGAATAACCCCAACGCCACAAATGCCGCTTCCAATTAGTTGGCCATCTGTCGATTGTCTCGGCATTCCAAATCTTTTGAATGTTTTTACATTACGCCAGTCATCCAGAGAAAAGTCATCGCAGTCTGGAAACTTGGACTGAAGCTCACCCATGATAAGAAAGACATAAGAAGTTTTGGAGAAAGAATATCCAAGGCCATCATCAAAATACGCTTCTTTGTTTTTTACATCGAGGACCATTAGTCCCCAATGTACATTGTCCATGTTTACCGGAACCAATACCAAGCTTAATAAGCCAGGCTTGACATTTTGCAACATTTCTTCAAAACATTGCCGGATAAAGCTTCTCTCTCCAGTGTTGAGCCAGGTAATAGTGTGCGCTGGAAGACAGAGTAAAGACTCGTTTAAATCACATTTACGCTGCAATCTGGAAATTGCTGTGTCAATTACAGTGTTACCATCTTTTGTTATTGAACTGCATGATAAGTATGTTAAGATACAACTTTTTATCAAGTCAACAAAATTTCCTGAGAGCGGTTTCTGGCCACCTTATACTTCTAAAAGCGCTCCTGTATGATCAGCATGTTGATAAGATACAACATTTTGCAAAGTTACCAAAACTTCCTGGGAGTGGTTTCATCGCCGAAGTTAACAGAACTTCCTAGAAGCAATTTTCGAGCTTTGGAGCCACCTTAGTTTTCAACATCTCCCAGCAAATATATAGCCACATTTGTAGCAGTAACTGACAATAACCTATGGAATGGCCTATCTAAATATAAGAGTTGGAAAGTGATGGAAACTATTTGTCAGCCTCTTTTATTCTACTTTATATTTACTTATATTAACTTTGTTTCATGCGAAAAATTCTGTGTAAGGCATTTGACATGCATATGACTATATTGCATAGTTTATACAATGTAGCACTCTACTTGAAGGCTACATAACATATATCGACTTACTGGTCAGTGAACTTGTAAAATGAATTGCAGATTTCTTTTGCCATCTGCCAGATAAAGCAATAGCTAAAGAGTTGTCATGGTTCCTGTTTGTTTCAAGTATGCATTGCTTGTAATTAAAACTCATTACATCACTTACATTTTTGTAGGCATCCTGTTGATACTGAGCAACATAATTCTGGACTTCCTTTGGGTACTTCTTGTTTTTTGAAGAATGGACAGCTTTGCAACAACTTCCTGTTGTTTTGTTTTCCAGAACTGTAGCTTAGTATCTAACTCCTGCTGTAGTAGACCTAACAAAACGATCCCAAATAATGAGAGTGTCAAAGGGATTTCGCTTGTTCACAAAACTGGAGCCTTATTTAATTGAAATGTTTAATAAATGGTATTGCATAGCTTTTCAAAGTGGTGTTTAAAGAGATGATAACGGTCCTTTATATCACATGTTAAAGAAATAAGTTTTCTTTTTGTATACGTTGTTATAATAAGTTTGCAAGTTTGATGGGATGTTAAGCTGGCTTAACATCCCATCAAACTCACTAAGCTGGGTATTACATTGAACCCAGTGAAAAGTGAATTTGCTTACCTGTACTGGCAATGTCAAGTGTGTCAGTGTGAGTTCCCCAATCTCTAAAAAACTTTCCTGACTCGTTCAGTTTGGTGTAGTGCTATAAAACATCAGATGCAATAATTTTAATAAGTGTGTTGCAGTGATAACATAAGTATGCGATTCACATAAAGGACAACACAAGGAATAGTGCATATGGCAAGCACTTCAATGATCAATATGACTGAGCATTTACCAGTATTATATAAGAAATAATGAGCTAGAACTGACAGTCGGTCATCAGGAAAATGCCAGCCAGTTTGGTCATGTTTGACAAAACTGCAACTGTGGTCAAACATTTAAGTAACAAAATTAATTGCTCAACATAATGCTGTAGATTAGAAACAATTTCTCATTTAGTTCAGTTGCTACACATACGACAGGATGAAATTTAAAAAGAAATTTGAGAACTAGAATCAAAATAATCATAAAAAGTTTTGTTAGACCAGAGGGATTTTGAAAGTCAGATATATGTACTCTTGAGAAAAAAAAAATGGCACTCTAACAATAAATAATAAGCATAGCACACCTTGGACTTGTAGGCATAACCAAATACAATAATAATAAACACTTACCAAATCTTTCGGCATGCATGTCTCCAAAATTCACTTTGATGTGATGTCATGATGCCGATGTTAGATATCCCAGAAGCACTCAGGCATACAATTATGCCAGGACTTCAACCTGGGTGAACCAAAGATGATATATAACACTTGCTAGATCTTCGATACCATGTGCGAACCAAAATACTTATAATGTTATATATCCCAGAAGCACTCAGGCATACAACTATGCCAGGACTTCAACTTGGGTGAACCAAAGAGGATATATAACACTTGCTAGAACTTCAAAACCATGTGCGAACCAAAGTACTTATTATGTTATATATCCCAGAAGCACTCAGGCATATAATTATGCCAGGACTTCAACCTGGGTGAACCAAAGAGGATATATAACACTTGCTAGAACTTCAATATCTTGTGCGAACCAAAATACTTATTATGTTATATATCCCAGAAGCACTCAGGCATACAACTATGCCAGGACTTCAACCTGGGTGAACCAAAGAGGATATATAACACTTGCTAGAACTTTGAAACCATATGCGAACCAAAATACTTATTATGTTATATATCCCAGAAGCACTCAGGCATACAATTATGCCAGGACTTCAACCTGGGTGAACCAGAGAGGATATATAACACTTGCTAGATCTTTGATACCATGTGCGAACCAAAAGTAATGCTCATGTTATATATCCCAGAAGCACTCAGGCATACAATTATGTCAGGACTTCAACCTGGGTGAACCAAAGAGGATATATATAACACTTGCTAGAACTTCGATTTACCATGTGCGAACCAAAATACTTATTATGTTATATATCCCAGAAGCACTCAGGCATACAACTATGCCAGGAACCAGAACCAGAGAGGACATATAACATTTGAGGGTCTCTACTGGTATTCTGAAGAAATCAAAGATTTATGCTGAAAAAGGAAGATCTCGTAATTGAAGCTTAGGCTTAAAAGTTTATGTAACGCAATGAGTTCAATCTAGATAATGAACAAGTGGATCATCATGCGCACAGCCTTTATGTGATTCTTGTTCAGAAGAAGTGGAATGTCAGATTTCGTCTAGCTAAACAAATGCAGACATAACAATATCTTAATGCATCAATAAAAGAAGGCATTACAGGGTTGGAAATTAGCACTTGCCCACTTGCCCAGGCAAGTGTCAAAACTACTTGGGCAAGTAAAAATCTTAGGCTTTTTGTTGCATTTATTAAAGGCACTCGATGGCCAGTGCTGTCAAAATTAAGTTTCCATCCCTGGCATTACAGATCAATGAACCCATTAAAATGTAAAATGGTAATAGAATGATTATAATATAATGTGGAATCCATCAATAATGATAAGAGCACAAATAAATGTTTAGGTAAGGAAAGACATGTCTTGTGAAATAAAAATACTGAGATCAAGTTACAGTTTGAGTTCTAATATAAACTACTCTATTTTAGTCACACTGCTCATCAGTGAAAATGATTTTAGTAAGATGAGGTATGGTTAAATGGGGGTGGGGGGTCAGGGGCACCTCAGGAACCCCTCTAGCCATGCCCTTGACAAAGTTTAGCAATAAAAAAAGAAAGAGGAAAAACAATATTTCTGTTTGTTATTTTTCTATTTATCTTTGTACTTTGTATCGGTATAATGTTTTATTATATCATAATTAAATAAATTTTGACCTCCAAAAGAAACGGATAAAGTTGACCAGAATTTAAATACAGGGGTGGCAGATTTTCCCCACTCACCAATTTAATCAAACACACTAACTGGCAATAGAAAATGATTTAAAAAGATAAAATGATTTACCTTAGCTCGCCCTAACTTTGTAAAGTTCAACAAGGTTTGCCATCCTTGGTCTGGGATCCGGGACTGCAGCTTGAAGTAAAGCAACGTCCAATCGGGCACACGAAGGGATTTAAAGAATTTTGGGGCATTGTCTCCCAGTATTGCTTCCAGGGCTTGCTTCGGGTCTTTTTTTCTTAGCAGCTGTTCTGAGATATCGCTTATCACTTTAGCCACTTCAACATTCTGGTCCACCTGATCGGCGAATAAAGATGCAAGAGGCACCTGGAACTTATCGCAAACATCGCCGATCAAGGTCCACATATCGCTTGTACTGTCCGGGTTGTCCTTTGCCGGGTCCTGCGTGCCTGAGCTCAGCGTCGATTGACCGCCGTTTTTCACCTCATCTCGAAGGGCCTCTAACTGGGAAAGCACAACTTCAAGTTCAGCCTTAAGCTTAAGATTTTCATCTTGACTCTTCTCGATATCCTCTATGGATATGGCTGACCTTGAATCGACTCCAAATACTGTTTGTACAGGGTCATGAATTTTGTCCTTGTTGTTGTCACGTGTGTCAGTCGCTGTTTGGCAATCTTCATTAACTTGGCCAATATTTAGGCTGTTGATGCCATCAACCAACCAACTGTACTTTTCTTCTTCGCCCGTTTTTTAGTTTTTGCCGAAGTATCGCGGAAACAACGCCGAAAGAAGAGGCTATGAATACCTCTTCTTTGTGAACTTGTCGTCGATCCAAGTGCCCGCCATTTTTAAGATTCGAGAGTTGCACTGAGTTAAATTCTTTTGGAAAGCTTGACGCCAAAGGGCTACTCGACATGAATTTTCCTACAGGAATGCCGTATATTTTGGAATTCAGGAGATACCAGTCCCTCGAATCGCTCGTGGAGTGCAGCAATTCAGCTCTTCGAATATCGAAGGCATCCATGCCGCACAGCACCTGATCGAAATGAGAACAAATTTCCCGCTCTTGTGAGTAATGTCTGAAATTCAACCTCAAGAAAGGTCAAAAGAAAAATCCAGCCCCTCAAAATAAACAGGATTGACGCCATTGGAGGTTGTACACAACGGTGTTAATGTAATCACCGAACGCTCCCCTGTTGAAACCACAAATCGAAAGCGATGATAGCTACTGAGCCGGATCATGACGTCACACCATAGCAACCAAACCCCACGAATTTTTGAACATCCGGTTTGCTCTGGCTCGTCATTTCAAAACATTTTTTTCAAGAGTGATCTACTATGCAAAGTATCTAAATCTAACGAACAATTGAGGCTCTGACCAGTAGTAAACAGATCAATCAATCATAACAGATCCATGTCGCGGCATGTTGCTCTTTTAGTGATTATTCACTGTAAGGATAAGGGAAAAGATTTTTTGACAAAATTTTAGAGCATCCGAGCACTGTCAAACAAGAATTGCGATTGTGGCTAATGACTATGGACGATCACAATAACCTTCAAGCGGGTAAAGAAACACCAGCTTCAGACACAAAGACATGGTGGCTAAATACTTTTTGTTTCTTCATCTTCGGTTTTTTCGCCTTCTTCAACGTAGAAATGTTCCTCATAGGAGCGCAGGATATCCTGAGCGGCAGGAACGTTCCGACCGCTATTTTGATCACTTGTTTTGAGGGTCCTTTAGTGATGGCCAAACTAGTCATTCCTTTATTTCAGGAGAAGATTCCCTACGTGGTGAAGGTGTTCTTTATCACATCCTCTATGATTCTTGGATTGTCTTTAGTCGTTTTCGCAAATGACTTTAAAGTAAAGATTTTAGGAGTCGGGCTAAACGCCATGGCTGCTGGGGCTAATGAAGCCACCTTCCTTGCGCTGGCTTCGTTTTATCCAAAGCTATGCATCAGCGCGTTCGTCGCTGGCACTGGAACGGGTTGTCTGGTTGCTGCTCTTTACTACACAGGTAACTATATTTAATTGTTCAGAGCTTTTCTTAATACAACGTGGGCCTCTGTTTCTTTTAATACAGAGTATGTTTAATTGAATTTAATCCCTAATAGAAAATAGCAAAAGGGGAAATAATGGCAATCTACTGGGTAGATTGAGTCGCGAAGGGATTTGAAATTTCATGACGCCGTTAGTGCGCTGCGTCATTACAATATGGAGAAATAGCTTGATCATTTGCATTTCAGACGGAACGCTGATTTTCCCACTTTGTGTGCGTATCTACGAGGAAACAGTGAAGCATTTCTGTCGCTGGTCATTATATCGATTTAAAAATAAATCAGGCAAAATTTAGACGGAGAATATCAGCCGTATGCGTTTTCAATATGAAAACGTCTTTTCAAAGTTACCCTTCGTACAAATTGTATAGAAGGGACCCTTGGAGAAAATGAGAAAATGTTCGCAAGTAATTTGCCTATAAATCCTATCATCATAATCCTAATGCAATTTTGAACTACCAGCTAAGAGCAACAATACTCAATATGTACAGTTGAAAGAGAAAAATTATCATTTTTTTTTTCTTTTCATCAGCTCTCATGACATGGACTTGCTTATCTCCTAAGACCACCATGATGATAACAATTCCCCTTCCTTTGGCAGTTTTGGTGTCTTACGCATTGCTGAACAAAGACTTTCTCCCAAACAGCTCACAAAGCAGCCCCAAGGAGCTCAAACACGTTAAGTACTCCATTGTGGGATCCACTTCTGACACCATGGATCAGGATGCGCCATCTCGCCAAAAACTAACATGTGGCGAAATGCTCAACATTGCATGGAAAATGAGTTCAGTCAATATTTCTCTATTGTTGAGCTTTTCTGCTGAGTATATCTCTGCTGTATCCGTACTTACGACGATTTCTTTCCCCGATTCACATATTCTCCCTCGCGATCACTTCCTTATTTATCTGTTGTCGTACTTTATCGGTAGATTTGTCGGTCGAAGCTATTTGCTTTTATTTTCTTGGCTGCCTTCTAATATTACGAAATTTCTTCAGTGCAATAGAACCTGGATTTTCACAGTGCTGCAGATGGCACAACTGACTTTCTTGGTATTGAACTCGTTGTACCATTTCGTCCCATACATCTGGATAATAATCTGTGTTTGTTCAACTCTTGGTCTAATCGGCGGAATGATATGCGTGAACGCACCCCATGCAGTTGCGCAGCACGTTAAATCCGAGGAGAAAGAGTTTGCTTTAGGACTGGTGTCAGTTGGTTCATCCATGGGTGTATTAGTGGGTGCCCTGATTGGGCTGGCTGTGGAATCGAGTCTTAGAAAGCATTGTGTCGAGCATTACCCAGACACCAAAGAGTTCTGCTTCACAAGATATCAAAACACCACTGGCTGGGAAACTAATATTCACTGTTAGAGCCTGTTATAAATTCTGACGCTTTGGTGCTTAAAGTCAAAAACCAACCAAGCATACAAAAAACCTAACTGACCAATAGACAAAGGTCCAATCAAAACCTTCGTTTGCATTAATTTTTATAGAGAATATCATCACGAAATTTATGTACTTTTCCGTGAACGTATTTTGTTCGCCAGACTAAAAATACTTTGTCCGCAAAACTTTCTGAGACCACTCAGTAATGTTTTAGGTCGAGCGCATGATGATCAGATGAGGATCGTTCTCTCTCAGCAGCAAGCCTGCTTTAGCAAGTGATCTCTTTTGAAATCCTACGCTGCTGGAACAGTGACCAAAATTTTGGGTCTATTTGCTTTAGATTGTGGGTTCCGAGAAAAAAAAAATTTATAATAGAGTGAAGTTTCTGATACTTACGAGAATCATCTTCAAATGTTTCAAAGACTTGTGTCTAAGTTGCGTGCAGTATGTATGTCTTCATAAGACAACGCAAAAGGGGTTGCTTGGGGCCAGACTCGTAAAATAGAAAAAACAAATTAAATTCAAGTAGCATATACCACACAGGTCTATAGTGCTTTTCACGCGCGCTGATTGGTTAGTTTGGAAGTGATTTGCATTTTATTTACCTTTTGGGCAGCCGAAGAGACAAAGAGGCGCTTCAAGAGTTACTTCCAGACCATTTCTCGGGGTATCGACAGATGTAAACAATTTTTTTGGTTTCTGTGAAGTATATAATAAAACGGTTATTTGCCTCAGTGTCTTTGAAAGTGGCGGATAGTTACCAGTAATCACCTCCACTTCAGTGAATAATTCTTTCCTCTTCAGTTTTTACGTGAGTCGGCTGGATTCCACCGGAAATTATTTCTAGCTCACCCCTATTAAATCATCAAAGACGTATTCACCCAAGCATGTGCTCCCCTGCTAATTTCTAGGTTTGGCCGACAACCCACTCATTTTCCACGCTCTCCTGCACTCAAATGAAACTGAGCGCTGTTGTTCTTGTTCAAAACAAACATAGCTACTGTCTCTTGAAATGGACACACATATTTCGCATTGAACGAAGAGTAGTCACGTGTTTTTAACTAAGGAGGCAGGAAGACGGGTGGTCGATTGCAAAAGAGAAATTCTATTCTGAGTTAGAATTTTGCAGATGGCTGGATGTGTTCACCGTCTCATAAAGTACCCCACCTAAATCTCAGCATACTGTGCGAGAGCAGCGTTGAATTCCAAATGGAAACTTTTGGGTGCCCTCAGTCATACTACGCAAATTTCTGTGATTTCACGATGTTGCTTTTGCATTTGACGGCTGAGTAATGTACAAAGTATTAGAATGCACGTGCTTAGCTATTGTACTTCCCTTTAGATCGTCTGTTTTACCCTGACGTCATCGTTGCTGTTACCGTCGTGGTTTCAAGGTCTTTAGTAACTACGAACGAAATGCTTAGGAGCTTCTCTGGAAAAGCGTAAAGCCCATTGCACAAAATTTCTTCTACGTGAAGCTTCCTTCCTTTAAATCTCCATTCCGACCCTTATATTGGTGCGTAAAAAATACGTTTGTTCGAACACAGGTACAACAGAAGAAAATTATTGACCAAAAATTCAATAAATTTGTCTGTGTAAAACCACGAAGTAGTCCAAGTACTACTCTGAAACTCCTGCGCAATTATAAATGAACCACACTTCATTATAAAGGACTAAAAGCCTCAAAACTAAGGCAAGGAGTCAGTATGTGGCATTCTTTCGATTCTTTTGTGTAATATGTTCATTATTTTTTTTACCTTCGAGGGCCGTCATTCTTGTGAATGGTTAGCAACTACTTCGAAGCTCCAACGACGTTTTGATAAGCAGAGTGATGACATTTCGAGTGGAAAACCAAGAAATCACCTATCACAGGAGCCCAATGGGCTTCTGCCTATCATAATTGGGATCATGCAATTCTACAAAAAAATGGGGTGGACAACGTGCATTCGCATATCTTGATTAACAGGCTTACTGAAAAATGGCTGAACTTTTAAAAACTTTCGCTCCAGTAACCCAATTGAAATTTGTGACCTTACCGCGAAGTAAACTATTACAAGGAATATTCTACCATTGCCGGAAGGCGTGCGTGGTTCTTATTTCTCTTTGCCACGTTTCTTGCATAATTTTTAGTTCATATACATCGCCTACGCTAACTCAGGAAATGTAGATTTGCTTGTTAAGTTCCTTCAGTTTTTGTTCTTTTTTCTCTTTTCCAATTTTTTTTTGGCATTTTTCTATGACAACATTGCCTAGAAGGTCTTACGAGGTGTGTGTTTATCGAATGAAACAAGTTAACATATAAAGAAGTATTAAACAAAGAAATTGGTACAATAGAATGTTTCTACATCTCTGCTAGTTTCCGATTTGGTGGACCGTTGTAAAGTTGAAAGTAATGCAATGGATCTTTCCTTGTTCTATCTAACAGACTTAAGTTTGTTTACCTAATTAGCTCTTAAAAACCTTTCAAATCATTATTCAGCTATTGTCAGACGCTTTTAAGATAAGTCACATAGCATTGCCGCCTTCGGATTCTTTAAATTCATCTGAAAGCTGGAGAAAAAGGAACACAGCGTGTTGCGCTAATTATTTGATATGCAGTGATAACCAGTTTTCTGAGGTGAGCTTAAGCCAAAAATTAATCCATCTTATGTCAGAGCTCTAAAATGCAATCAACTGCAGTGGTTCTGCTGAATTGGTAGCTTTGCTTAAATTCCGAGAGAGTTTTCAAATCAAATTGGAGTCAAAGAATAGCTACTGAGGAGTACGAACATGGTAACATCGGGGTTGCCATGAATCAACAGAAAACTGCAGGAATCCGTATTCTAACCGGAAGTCAATTTACACCTGACTTAAAACATTTTCTGTTTTGATAATATTTCATTTGTTTTAAGGAAGTAGGTTTTTTACTGTTTCGGATAATGAGTGATCTTATCTGCGTTATTAGATGTAACTTAAAATAGTTTTTGATTCAATATAATGGCGAGGTGCAACTTTTCAAGATTAATTAAGGAATATTAAGATATTTATCAACATCGCACGCTGTGGTTAGACAATATCTGGCACTGATCAGTGTAAACAAAGGTTGATCGCTGACGGATAAACCTTAAATGTTTTCGTCGTTGATTTGAGGAGTGATTGGTGGGCAGAACGTCTCTTTCATAGGTAAATATAGGTTTTTAGACCCGTAGAAGAACGGTTCTTGGATGATTAACACTTAAGGGCTACCGACAATCTCCTGAGACGTTTTATTGCAACTGCTAATGTACTTTGAACGCAGGTAGGTAAGAATAATCCTATCTGAAAATGTTATACTCAACTTAAGCAACTGAGAGCGAGTTTTTAGCGAGAAACTTTGGTTCTTTTCGACTTAAACACTGCTCAAAGGAAAACAAAAGGAAGATTTGTGTTATGCTTCGGATTATAATACCGTATTAATATGGTAAACTCCGGACGAATTTTAGCATGACTTTTCCATTTTGATTCTGTCGACGGTTTGTTTCACATTGTCCATAGTAATTAGTTGCACTAAATGCCTATCGGTTATATTGTGGCTCATGTAGACGTTATGTAGTTTTTTCTCTTGTAAGCAATAGATTGAGCTAACGATATATAACCGACTAAGATAGCTTTTAACACTCATGAGTCTCTTTCATAACATTCAACTTTACTTGAAAGGGCTGTTAGTGATGGTAGTCAGTCCTCATGGCTCAAACCACTAATGGTTGCTAGTGTCAACGACCACCATCTTTTATGGTCGAAGTGTTTTTCACTTAAATGATAAGAGGTCTTTTCCGATGAAATGAAGCATGAATTATGAAAACATTAGCCATCAAGTCTTCTCAATGTCATGCCTGAATATCAAAACGTAGTTCCATTACACTCTTCAAGCAGCATGTAAAGATGAATTATAATAATTTATTTAAGTGGCTATTCCTTAAAACGAGAGCCTCTCAACAATCCCACTACAATGGGTCATGGAAACCAAGTTTACATTGTGCATCGTCATCCATTTATTTAGATTCTCTGTGCGATACCAAACAAAATTTAATTCAAGGTCTAAGTTCATTTTTGCCGCTGCCCGCTATCACGAGTTTGTTGTACACAAAGTTTAATTTTTCATGGATTTGGTTGTCATTTACCGGCTCAAAACTTTATTAATTTTTTCACGAGTATCTAGAATTTACTGAAAAGAGCTAAAATAACTGTTACATTTTCGTACATTGACACCTCGCCTCTCCCCAAGAGTATGGAAACCTGTCGGTGTACAGTTTACAGGAAATGAGTTTAATTTTTAGATATGCACCTTTGAGTATGTTCAAATCCTGAGGAGAGCTTCGCTTAGGCGAGTAGACAACTCCAATAACTGTGGGACAAAAAGGTATTAGTTAAAGTTTTATTATCAACGTTTAATCTGGAAACTTGTAAAAGTATTTCGGCGTTTTCAGGACGGATTTGTACTCTATACTGTAACCCACGCAAGGCCGAATAAAAGGCGTCTCCGGAAACTAACCCACTTCGCTTTTATCTTAGTCAAAATATCTCCAGTGTGATCCGATAAACAATGAAATATTTGCTGTTCGCACTCGTACGTTTGATTATAAACCCTTCCTACGCCTTTCACCCTGCTGCGACTAATAATTGATGCGGAATAAGTCCTGCCCAAATGTAGACTTTGAACGTAACTTTTAAATGCATCGGGCAACGATGTAAATTCAGAACTAAACAGTCTCTCGTACCGAGCAGGCTTTCATATTTTTGTTTTTTGACTGACAAAAGTTGGAACCGTTTTAATCCAGTTTTCAATGGCTTGACAAGAGCGAATATTCGACCACTGAGGTAAGCGATTGAACGCAGTTATATTCATGTTAGGCCTCAACAACAATATTCTCGAAGCGTGCCCAAGAGTAATCATTTAAAAGATTTTTGCTTCATCCTTTAAGCTTGTTTTGTCGAGAGCCTAAAAAGGCATGCGCTTATTTGACTTTGCATGAATAATTAGCCAGTAAATTAAAACGTGATAGATCTTCGCAGACGTGATTAAGTCAATGCCTCTGAACACAATAGGAACAAAAGCATAATTTAATTTCAAAGAACAGCGAGTTAATTCAGAAATAAATATTTTCTCTGTAAAAATCTCTAAAAGAGGTGACGTTCTATTTGCGGTATGTCGCGCAACGATGTCGGACCTTTCACAAATCAATTGTTCTTCACTAGGCTTTCATCACGAAGCAAGAATCAAAATGTCGGAGCTCTCTTGCTATGAACTCAGAGTCGTTGAAAACATCATTAAATGATGTTAGTTTTCAAGCAACCTCAACATTTATGCTGTTCGAATTACATCAGTTCTCGGCCGGGGTTTATGGTTCAATTGCCAACACTGTTTTAACACTCACACTTAAGATGTTTGGTTATTCGAAGAAAAAGGAAAGTTATGCTCCTTAACCATCAATCGAAGTTTCTCACGGTTAAGAGCTTTAACAAGATTATTTTGAATTGGATAGAATTAAATAGTCAAAGATGTCTAAAATGGTGACATTTCGTCCGGAGCGAAAGTACTTCTCAGTTTTTACTATGGTCTAATGATAACCTGATTTACCAGGAACTAATTAGTAAAATAACTATTTGAAATGATATGCGTGGCTTGCGAAAGGCTGCCAATATTTGCAC